GCACAAAATCTTGCATATATATGCAGGCTAAGCATCATATAGTACGTAGTCCTAATTTTATATGGTCGAGGTTTTTTGGGTCAAGTTAAATTACCACCTCAGAAGTGGAGGCATCATGATGATGCTTTGTACACCTAATTTTATATGGTCGAGGTTTGACATGGTAAACGAAATGGACTGTTTTGAATGCTAAAATGGTTGCCATGTCTTTTTCAGTTGGGGGAGTGAGACTGTGAGAGGTTTGACTGATGACTTCCCAAACGACGGTTTCAGTTGACAACTACTGGATCTTGAGTTTGGGCAAGTCACCATTCTTCACATTTTGGTCTGCAAGCCTTGTTTTTTGGGAGGAAATTAAGCATTTTGCTAGGAAGTTGTTACACAACTACATAAGTGATGCACCAAAATGCACGGATGTCGGATAGTTGTGGTTTTCTGGGCATTATTCGTACAACAAGCTCGATCAATTTAAATCATGTGAGTACTTTTATGTATGTTGCTTCTGTGACATCGCTCCGTTTCAGTACAACCAGGCCTTTGCCCTGCAAATCTGTTGCTTTTGTGACGGTGACAATACAAGAAAATGTTCGAGAAACAAACCGATCTTCGATGAAAGATAACAACCCCCAAGTTTGGCAATGAGAAATTCACTAGGTCACTACACACAAAGATGACTTGCCAATTCAAGAGGAAGCCCAACCTGAGTCACCCATGTTTGATAATTTAAGGGAACAAGACAGAGACAACTGTTGAGGGAAATCAAAGTTGAAACACATATGCATGATTCAAACATGACAAGACAGGATCCTACAAACCCCGCGAGTTAGGTCCTGGTATAACTCAACACAAAGATATTGTTTCCATGTGGGTCATCCTCCTATCACTATTTGAAGTTTGTAGTTCAGTTCTCAAACTAACCCGTAACAAGGTTTGCCCAGCTTAAACAAGAGCTGACTGCTGCTTTAGATATCCTTGGCAAACTACACTAGGTGCGCTTGCGCTTCTTTGCCAGATTCTCGAAGATCTGATGCACATCGGATGAAGTTATTGTCTTCGACGGATCAAACGACTCCTGTGTAGGTGTACATTATTGAGGTCAGGATAGAAACAGATAAATTAGTCAATCATAAGAACTAAGAAGATGCAGAAAAGCCAGCAGCTATGCTGACTTACCAGGAAAGAACGAAACTCATCCTTGAAGTCCGCAATGCCACCGAGTATCTCCATCTTCTCTACATGACCAAGATTATTGATAAAATCCAACTCAGCACCTTCTTGTTTCTGTAGCTTCTCTTCCCTCTTCTGCTTTGCAATTTTCTCATACTCAGCAATTGAGTCCTCCTGGTCAATTAGATAGCTTATATGCTTCTGCTTATACATTTCTAAGCAATTTCCACATTTGCACAAAGATTCCCTCCAGCTTTTGGCCAGAAAGAATGGTTTGATCTCCGAAGTTGTAGGTGGAGATACCATGGAACCAACACCCAAGACGCAAGCAGTGTCCTTTGCACATGCATCTGAACAATTGCTCTTCTCGAGAGTTCCATTGCTTGAAGATCCCTTCTCAACCGCCACGTGATTTGGACTACTACTGAGTGCATCACTATTTGCAGAAGAACCAGAACAAACATTGTTCTCGAGTTTGCCACCTGCACAAGGGGCAGGATTGCTTTCCATTACGCCTTTATCTTTACTGGTATTAGAAGCGGAAACACCAGCCTGGCATTCTGTAGCTCGGATGGTTTGAGGATACAGTGTCAGGAAAGAACATACTGCTGAGCATGTTTTGCAAATGAAATCCTCATACAGTGGTTCCCCATCACTGTCTCTAGGAATCTACAATGTAAAGAGGAGGAATGACTACTGATAAGTACAATAAATTACCAATCAATTGACCAGCTAATTGATGGCTAGTAGTATAGAAGTAACGACTGCCAAGAAAGACTTGAAACGAGGAAGATTTCAATGTCATCCAAGTAGGCAAGGACTGAGAAAGTTACAAACCTCGCTAACAGTCTCAAGACCCAGATGCTCCTCATGAAACCAATCCTCACACAAGATACACTGAATCATCTCCTCTTGTTCTTTAGCATCTGGATCAGGATAGGGACGCCCACATGTGCAGTATAAACCTTTGAAGTTTTGATTGTATGAATTGTCAGCATTTTCGACGTCTTTGCTAGGGCAAAGCTTGCAAAAGAACTCCCCAAACTTCGAATTTCCACAATCGCACCTGAAATTTCTTTTGGTCCATAATTCAACAATCTGTTTGCACAAACAGTAATGAGATTACCATCAAATGTAAGTAGAAAAATTTTAATCGATGAAATCAAAATCTATAAAATACCCAAGTATAGTTCTAAAACTGCTGCACTGCTGCTCCTTCTACAATACAAAAGCAATACTGAGGGAGCTCATAATTCCAACAAGTGCAAGTGGCCGCTTCAAGAATCCGATTAAAGAAAGTTTGTAGCTTCATTCATCACAACCTTAAATGCAAATGGTAAATTTTTTGCACAGCATAACAGTCACTTAAAAACACCGGTAAAATTGTTACATCCCCTTAGGAAGATTAAAGCCTAAATTTCTAGCAAGTTCATTTTCAAACCTATTAAACTGTACTGAACACATGTAAACTGTACCTCATGGCCATCATGGCAAGACAAGCTGCAGGCTGTACAAACTCCAGCATTCCCTTCAGGCGTACAAGTCAGACATGAAAAGATTGCCTGCCTCTTCATATAACCCATGTTATAGGTGCATTCTTTACCCTCGTCTCCACCCAATACCAAATCAGCTTCCTTTGAAGTCATCATTCAAGAAAACAATCAGGCATGATCAAAACAAGTTAAAGTAACATTTGAGGGAAGGGGATAATTGGATAAGAGCAAAAAGAAATAGTATCGAATCAGCAACTGGTTAATGACCATGTGCAATTGAATTTGCACTAAGCACTACTCTTTGTACCATTGTACTGTCTTGGAAAAGCAACCTAGATGAGTAGAAAATGCAGGCTTTCTAAGAAAATTAGAGATGAAACGCTGCAAAGTTTCACCAACATTCATGGTATACAGACAATTACACACACTAAATAAACAGGCACAGAGTAGTTAACAGGTATACAGACAATTACACACACTAAATAAGCTGGTCCTACTTATTCATCTTGACAAACGATAGTAAACAATCCACGTTGCGCATTCAGGCCCGTCAATCAAAAGAACCCCCTCATTGTCATATCATTTTGTACTGTTGTATCACACATTAGATTAACCGAAACACAAATTTAATGATGGATAGCTGTTCTCTTGGGACCCTTGCTTCACTCACTTCTTCTCAACCCACACTATCAAGCATGGACAAAAGGAACGAATCCAACCAAATCTATGAATGGAAAACTGAAAAGCAACCTACCAACCCCAGTAAATAGACTACCACACCAATAAAACAACAAGCTCTGAAGCATACTCTCAAACTGTAACTATTTCCATGTGAGTCCATATAGCTCATAGGTTCAGGTTCGAAGCAAAGGACTACATCCCAATCAACAAAACTACATTGTTTATCCTTGTTCTCATCACACTCTGAGCTATCCACAAGCTCAACATTGTTTCCACCAACAAGTTCAATCCACAACTAGCCAACGAGAAAGGAAGGAGACTGTAATTTGAACATGACATGGTAAAGGATATTTACCAGTTCCTCAGCTTCAACCTCTTTAAGATACTCATCCATGGTGACCGTCTGCTCGGTCTCATCATCAAATGCATCAGCCATTTTCTCGACCAGAAAACACGAGATCACTCAAAGACCACAAATTCAGAAAAAACCCCACTCTAGGCCTGCAATTCGAGAATATGCCTAGTGAAAAATCCTCAACAGTATAGATTAAGAAGGGGAAAGGAAAGACGCGCTTAATCTCGGAATACTGTAAGACCACGAACCCTAGCATTTCCGATACTGTAATGAGTAGTTCAGTGTACAATCGCACTGTAGAAACTTACCTGGTGGAATTAGCGAACGAAGAGTTCTAGGGTTTTCACAAACCTCTTGTTGGATTTTGGCAGGGTTCAGAAATGGTGAAAATGAATCATTCCGATATGGGGAAGGGACGGGAAATTGTCAAACAGAGAGTGGGTGACGGACACTAGGGTTTTTATACAGGAGATAGGGAGTGTAAGGACATTTTCCCGCCAGTATGAAATTCCCCCATTGCTCCTTCCCTCCAACTTGTCATTTTTGTTCTTTACAATCGTCCCATGTAGTTTTCTATGTGCTCGACCATGCCCCATGATCCATTTTGACTTCCTAATCCACATCTTTTGCTTTTCTACACTTCCTTTGGATGATTCTTGAACTTAGAGCAAGATGAATTTTATTCTTAATTAGGTGAATTGCATACAAGTTAAATTGAACCGTTTAAATGAAATTCACAAGTCTGGTTACGTTGCAAAAATATTGAAAATGACGGTTATTCTTAAGTGACGTGACATCTATTCGAATGCGTTACTAGTGTTTCATAATTGTGTTGTCGTTGGTTGTGGTTCACTATGTGTGTATGTCATCTGAGCTCCTTCCATAATACTTAGACTGAAAGTCAAAATAGATGGTGTCATGAGCCTGACTATTTGTGCATCAACTTGGTATGCAGGATCACTGTATATGAAATAATTGTCTATGTTGTAGAGAAGGTAATTCAGAAAGTGCAGTACTAGTTATGCTTCGACCTGTTGATGGTCTGCAATGACATTACATGGCGTCAAATTTTACAACACGAGAGTAATGAATATTGAGAAGTTGAACCGATTCTACCTACTTATTTTGTAGTTGCGTGCATATGCAAGCCTTTAACGTACACTGTTGTTCATCAAACGACATTCTTTGATTTCCGACATTAAGTCATCAGTGATTTACCCACATATATAACATAATTTACCAATATTTTTTCTTTTATAGTAACTTTGATGCAACTAGATTTTCTCATCACCAATCATGCAATTTGCATATTCAATTTGTTGCTCCCATGCCATCCATCTCAATAAATTAACATGACCACAACACAATCTTGGAGTGGAAACTCCATATCATCTCTCCCTACAAACTCTCCACAGCATCTCAGCCACCACCACATCAAGCGCATGAACAAAAGTACCGAGACAAATGCAACCACCCGGAAAGCCGAATCTCCAGCCGGAGAGTCAAAAAAGACAAACCACGCACGCATTCCACATGACTCAGACATTTCATCGAACACCTCCCCTGCACATATAATAAACCCCACTCCTCCGAACCCAATCCCCATCATCAAATCATCTCGAAAGCAGCAAGCATTAATTAACCACCAGACCACGTACACCATGAGTCCTCTTCGCTACTCGGCAGCCGTGGGTATCTTGGTCGTAGCCACCATCGTCGGAGTAATGGGCGCCAACGAGCCGGCGCCGCCGGCGTGCTCCACGGTGTACGACGAGCTGCAGCCGTGCATCCCGTACTTCACCGGACGCGGGGACCCGGCGAAGGATTGCTGCAGCGGGGTGAAGGCGCTGCAGCCGTACTCCAAGGCGAAGTCGAATCGTGTGGCGATCTGCCAGTGCCTGAAGTCGATGGTGAATTTGGTCCCGGGGGTCGATTTGTCAGCCGCGTCCAAGCTGCCCAAGAAGTGCAACGTCAACGTCAAGCTTCCCAAGCTCTCTCTAGACATCGACTGTTCCAAGTGCGTATTATATGCATTTTTTTATAATAATTTTCTGCTCTTGTTGGAAAACAAAATCAAGTTTTTTTGTAGGAAAATGTTTGATTTGAGCTGTTCTATTTTTTTTTTTTTTATGAAGGTTTGATTTGAGCTGTTCTTATTTGCAGGGCTTGATGATGATGATGATGATGATGCAATTGGCGAGGAATAATGGATGGAGAAGTTATGGTTATTGAAATAAATTTAATATCCTGCAGGGAGAAATGAAAAAAAGTGTTTTTTTTTTGTTATCGCGAGGTGATACTTATTATGTAGCTCGTAAATGAAATAATAAAGTCATGTTGATTAGTCTTTGTTTTCTATTCAAATACGGCTCGACGTTTTGGATTGGTAAATATTCGTTCGAAACTCACGAACGAGTCGAGACTGAGCTAAACTTTGTTAACCTCGCGAGATTCACGAACTCGCTCAGTTCGGTGGTGTGTTGAGCTCAATTCATGAGCTGACTCATTTATAGCTCGTTAATAAATAAATTGAGTACGAAGTTAGGGTAAACCTCAACTTAAATACGTATATAATCGATTAATTTAACATACACGATTGAAAGTAACAATATTATTCGTTATATCCAAATTTGAATAACCATTTTATTTGTTTCATTCATACTCTGTCGTTGTGTTATTGTCTTTTTGATTGTCTTATTGATAGCAATCAAATAAGGACTCTGTATGGACTTGAGTAAAGGCATCTTCAATATTCACAAAGGAATAGAAACACCAAAATAGAAATACAAATAATCTATCCAAAATAAAGTTGTCAATTCACGAGTCGATCCATGAGTTGACCCCGAATTTGATGAGAAAAAACGAAAGACACACATTCACGAGTCGACCCACAACATAAAATTTTGATATAATTTATTAATGTATGGACAAAGCAAGGTTGTCAACCTGCAGGTTGACCCGGACCCGGTCGAGCTAGTGGGTCAAGGGTTAATGGGTCAACCGTTTTAGCTCGGTTTGGCCCAGAAATATGGAAAAAGTCATTATATTGTACTTATCCTCATAAATTATATCAAATCTTATCTAACATATGAGTTATAACATATAATATTACACCAAAATAACATATCGTATATAGATCCAACATATAGTGAAAATTCACACACTTATATAACATAAATATTAAAATGTTCAACTTAGCATTCCAAAAATTGAGCTAGGCGAAAAGAAAAATCGGAAAATACAACCAAAGAAAAAAAATGATACAATTTGACCTCCAACCCGGTACCCTTGTAGCGGTCGGCCCGGTTGGTGCTTGCAGACCGTTTTTCTCACTGGGTCAGGATCAAAGTGGGTCGACCCGCGAGTTTACAACCTTGAGACAAAGTAATAATTTTTTTTCAATATATTCAGCTTACACCAGACCAAAAGAATCAAATCTTATCCTCAACCCACTTGCTTTACCGGGCAGCGGGTTAAACCGACTTGACTTCCTCTCCAAGAAAGAAAAATATCTCACCGATAGGACGAGTTTTGCATATTTTAATCGTCATGAGTTCCCACGCAGCTCGCCGAAGCTCCACTCTCAACTTTCCACGACTAATTTGTTGGCCTGGACTCCAATTCAATTCACCTTCCCCAAACCTACTGAGCTCCAAAGCAGCCAAGCAGGTAAGAGCCTCTCTTCCGAATCCTTAGGGTTTCGCTGTTTGATATTTCGCCGGGCTGTGGTTGGCGATTCATCTGTTGCACCCTAAAACTATCTTCATTTGTTCGTCACAATCTTGATCTCGAACGGATTGCTTGGTTAGGAATGATAGACGTGTTCTCCCTTTTCGTGCTTCGTCCTGCCCTTGCTTGAAATTAGTTTTCGTGTCCCTCAACTGGGTAGCTTGCTGCCAAGAATGCGAACTTGAGATTTTGCTCCGCTCTCTCAGTCAAGATCGTCATTCAATTGCTTCGACTCAATGTACAAGGATTCCGCAATGGTTCAGTCTATGATTGCGGGTTTCTGACTGTCTCTCGCAGGAAATTCAGTTTTGTGCTTCCATGGCTCAACTTCGAAGCCTCTGCAGTAGGTCAAGCCTTCTTAGAAGACGGGTTGACCCATCCTCTAGCTATATGCTTAATCACCATGATCATGAAGAGAATTCGGCAGATGGTCGCCCATCTCAAAAGGGAATGGGGAATGTGCATCAGCATCGGTTCTTTGGAAACTGCTCTGGCAATACAACTGCTCTGGGTCTGTATCATGGCATAAGACGTAGTGGGTTTTTGCTTCCATCAATTATTGGACCATCTTCTGCCCGGTATATGTCCACGGCCATTGGTGAAAGTTCAGACAAGATTGAACTGATCAGCGATGTTACTGAGGTTCTTACAGAAACACCCATTGAAGCTGTCGCTAGCCAAGCTGCTGGTGTTAGTGAAGTTGCGGTTGCTGCTGCTGATTCGTTCTTGCCTATTAAAGTCCTTCAGCATTGCGTTGATGCAGTCCATACTTTTACTGGTTGTAACTGGTAAATAACTGGTTCCTCCTTGTCCGTTGCAAGAATGTGGCACCCTAGTGTAAAATTTGCAGTGTTATGCCATGAAGTATGCATGAAAAACAGAGAGTTCACATCCCTAGATTCATCCAAGCTTATTTATGTACCATGGATGAGGACTTTAGGGTTTCTAGTATCAGTATGGATTGAACTGGAAAACGCTGTTATTATAGGAGTCTCTGGTATAACATGTATTGTGCAGTTGGGCATTCATGAAAAAGTTACATGAGTGATAAGTTTTGGTTAAATCACAGAAGCACCTTCTTTTACTTCTGAAAATGCCTTCTAGGATGTCGTAAATGTTTCTTCTTCGATCACCCTTTTGCAGGTTTCTGTCCATCGTTTTAACAACTCTGATCCTAAAGACAGCAACTCTTCCCTTCCTGATAATTCATCTTAAATCTAACATAAAGCTTTTTGTAAGTCCAATGCCTTTTAAAATGTTGTGCACATTCGCTTTCAATTAAAGTCCAGCCGTCTTTGTTGATACACTTTTATCCTTATGCTTATTGAATGTTGGTGCCGCATTTTCTTACTTGTGTTTGTGTTTCAGCTTTTGAGACCGCAGCTGGAGCAGATTGAGAAAGTCATCCGAGATGAGGTTGTATTCTGCATTTTGTTTTCTTAGATCTTCACACACTAGCTAAAGATTTTGCTTGAATAATGTTTTTTCGCAGTTGAATTTTGCTTAGGAACTATTTCCCTAGGCTTCCTTTTGTTCATTATTGTTTTTGTGGTCTTTGCTACTGTAAGTTTGTGGTTTACATTGGGGAACTCTGCTCTTGCTAGGCAGTTTGAATTAGGTAAATATAGAGTTTATGGGCACTTTTGCAACTTCAACTGATGGTCTCGCTGTGAAAATGTTGAAACCATTCATTTTTAAAATGCGAGAGTTGTTCTTACACCGTTAAAATTATTTTTATTTCAACTAATATGTCCCTTACGCTATATCAATCTGACAGAGTGCAGAGCCAGAGGCTATTCATGAAGGCCAGAAAACAATAGAGAAGCTTTACGAGGAGTAAGCAACTTCTCTACATTTTTGGAAGGGAACTAAATGGACAGTTCATTTTTGTGAACATTCAATTTTTCCTTCTCCCACCTCTTTCCGGTGTTATGGAAGAGATAGACTCGGTTATTCATGACTAGCAACCCACATCAAGTAGTGTAATTATTGTTGGTTACTTTTTTGGATCTCTTTTAAGTTCCTATTTCCTAGTTGTTATTAGAAGTAGTTTATTATTTTGCATTTAAGGCTGGATTAGTTATGCTTTGAAGGAAAATTTCTCTTGATAGGGCCTGCATCAACTGTTTCTTGATTTATAATGTTTGATTTCCTCTAGCATGATATTTCCATATCCTCTATACTGTAAATTCATATTTATAATTCTTTTTATTCTCGCAGACATGGTATTACTCCTTTTACTACGTGGAAATGGTATTTCATTCAGGGTCCTGTTTCCGTTTGTTTTTTCCTTGCGGTATGTAGATTCCAATATTTTGACAGTTCCATTGGTATAGATTAATGAGCTTGCGAAACAGTAAATCTGCTTTTCATTCTGTTTCGACTGACAATGTGCAAACATTCCAGATTCAGAACATGGCGGAAAAAGTGCCTTCCTTTAAAAATGGCGGAGCATACTGGTTCACCGATCTGACTACTCCGGACAGTATGTACCTACTTCCGGTTTTGATCGGATTGGGTTACTTGACATCAGTTGAGGTAAGATAATTAGTTCTCATTTCAAGTTTGAATCTACTAGTGTTTTTCCAATTATATTTCCAACTTCTTGAGTTTACAAAATGAATTCACTGAAGGTTTGGAGGCACCTGTCAGAAGGTTTGGAGGGAAACCCCATTCCTGGTACCAGTAAAACAATCTCAAGAGTCTTGGCTGTGGGACTTGGTCCAATATCAGCGTCCTTCCCCACGGTAAATTTCCGTGACAATGTAACTTTCAATTCCTTCTATAGGCTGTGAAATCTAATTCCTTTCTTCCCTTGTGTTGTCCTTGTGGTTCAAATTTCTAGTTACAAATATAGTCCATTCCATTCCACTACATGATTATCTATTTATCTTATCATCTGCTGCATTCTCAGTCAGCTTTTTTGCTTGGTGTTCTGTAATTCTCCTATTCCTGCTTGTTTTCATATTTTGAAACTAGTTGCAGGAATGCAAAAGTCTTGGCAAGAAGAGTTTTGAATACCCTTACAAGATTATTCCAATTAGGATGGAAGTGTAATATGTTGTTCGTGTATCTGCAGGCCATATGTGGCTATTGGTTAACATACAGCTCCTTCTCAGTGTTGTGTGGTTTGGGTAAGTTGCAACTTTCTGTACCTGTGAAATACGCTAAGATAGACGAACATATATATTGCCATGAGAAAATTGCAACCAAAGATGTGTGCCTGATCTTTTGACATGTGCCTTTCAGCGACCAAGCTTTCTGCGGTGAAGAAATTGTTGGGGTATCCTGAAATAGCCATGCCACCCACTGCCACTACAGCTACGCAGGCACCCTTCAACCTGTTTTCAACACCCAAACTGGATGAAGAAATGGAAGAGGAAGTGCCATCGGTGTCATCCGACGAATCATCATCGTCAGCAAAGACATCCAGTTGTAGAGCGTCATCATCTTGCAAGGAGTAATACAGCGATTATGTTCATGAACCGACGAAGTGATCACGCAGAGGAACACAAAGGTTCCGCGGCGTGTTTCATCTATGGTTGCTCACATATGACAGCATTTTAGAGGAGGACGATAGAGGTGTTTAGCTTGAAAAAATGATACCCCGTTTGGAAGAGTCACACGGCTAAAGGGCAGGAGGGGGAAGATTAATGCCCTGTTGCAGAAGAAGCTAATGACATAGAAATCAAAACATAGCTCTGTTTAGGACTTAAGTTGTCTAGTATACTATTTTCTGTTTCGTTTGTTGAATTAGCAAACTATTAATGATAATTTTCACCAAACTACCAAGTCATTATCAGTTTAATTAACTCGCAGGATTCGGTGGTGGATAGGGGTTACTTTCGTTAGGGTTTAAATGGGTTATAGGTATAATATGCCCCTTTATTATGACGTTTTATCAAACATGTCCCTCTACTATTTTTTACATCAAATATGCCATTGTACTTTGAAAAAATTGTCAAACATGCCCTTCTGTTAAAATTTTCATTGAAAAAATTGTCAATCATGGTTGAACCGAGATTTAGACGACTCGACATCGGCAAATGGGAGGAAAATGTCAGTTTTGTCCCCTGTTTTATTTCACTCGGTCTTTTCAAAGTGAAATTATTTGAATGATTTGATTATACAAAAGAATCAAAAAAATTCTAAAGTGAATTTATTAGGGATATTTTAGTCATTTATGTCGCCCAAACTAAAGTTCGGCCTTGGTTAACGGTTTTTGGATGAAAATTTTAACAAAAGGGCATGTTTGATCATTTTCACAAAGTATAGGGGCATATTTGATGTAAAAAATAGTAGAGGAGCATATTATACCTATAATCCGGGTTTAAATATATTGGTCCACAAGGTTGTTGATTCTTGATTGCTAGCTAGGTGGTTTGCAACTAATAGAATGCCTCCCAACTTATTGCAAATGCCTTTTTTTTTATGGAAATACTTCTGCTTTTATTAATTCATGGGAAAACTTGTGTCAACAGCATCCCTTTGTAAAAGAGGGAATAACGGCATTGGAGGTCTATCTACCCAAACAGCTTCCCCTTCCCACTCACACTCAATATGGGCCATAAAATGGGCCGGTTCATTACATTTTCGGCCCACATGATTCCAATAGAACCGACTCATCTCCAAAGCCTTGTCATTGATCTCTTTGCACACTCGACCCAACTCCAGCATAGTCTGTCTTTCTCCTCGCAATGTCCGCTCCACTACCTGACAATCCGTCTGAACTTCGTTGTGAAAGAAATGATGTCGGCCAGCCAGATCGACGGCGAAGTCCACCGCCATAGCTTCTACAATATCCGGATTCCACTATCGCCTCGTCTGCCTGACTGCAGCCAACTGAAAGATTCCGGCTCTGTTCCTTACAACGACTCCCAGCCCCGTTCCTTGGTCCGTCAAGCATGCAACATCGACATTCAGTGTGAAATCAACTTCAATCGACGGGGACCAGCTCGTTGCTGATGCTTGAGGCAAAGGATCTCTCTTCTGCTGCGCCTCCAGGTATTCCACAATCCATCTACTTGCCCGTGCCATAATCTCCCACTCTTCCAATTTCGGTTTATTCCACAATTGACAATTTCTCTGATCCCAGATAAACCACAGAGCCACAAGGAATTTTCCAATCTGTTCGTCGTCCTCCGTCTCCTGCAGCTCACAGAACCATTCTTCCGAGGTTAGATCTTTACCCTTTTTGAACATAGGTAGAAGTGGACTAGGTCTCCAAACTCTCTGCACCCAGTCGCAGTCTTTGAAAATGTGGTTTTGAGTCTCTTTAAGGTCACAAAACGGACACCCTTCACTGCCTTGTTGCGTTCTTTGAACAATTTTAGCACCTGTAGGGAGAATATTGGGAACCCACCTCCAAGCGAAGACTTTCACTTTTTGGCATGGTAAAGGAAACCGTACCGGAAGTCATACCGGCTCCGCCAGTGGTAGGGTATTTTGTGGTACTACCGTGGTTCAATCGTTGTGTACCGGCAAAATACCGTTTTTGTAATTAAATAATATTTTTTTGTTAAAAAACCGTATCGGCAGATTCGGGATACCGTTTCGGAATAATACCGGAATAAAACCGGAATATACCGGATAACAAACCTGAATAAACTAAATAAGCATATGTAATATAAAATTCAACAAGGTGCGCCATGGAAACTAGATCATGAAATGGAGATCGATGTAGGTGGTAATTGGCAAATAGTGCTGCTCAACTACCTATCATATACTGGAATTATTGTCAAAAATGAAAAATAACAATCCGTCTGCTCACTTTACCTTTACCTTTTCTTCAACACTGCCCTGCTTCCGCTCGAGACTAAGTAGAGAGAGAGGGAGTGACAGAAGGACAGAGAAGTTGAAGGGGATTGATGGTGGAGTGGGATTAATTGCCCTTTTGGCGTTCTTGAGCAGATCGAGCAGCTGCGCGCCTGAGCCCTGAGGAGGAGAGAACTTGGCGAGCTCCTTCCTGCCACCAATGACCAAACCCAGACCTCAGACGAGGAAGGACATCAGAGAAGAGGAGCGGCGGAGCGCAGGGATCAGCGCCAGTCGCGTCGCCAGAGAAGAATAGAAGACGAGCGATGGAGAGCCGGAGAGGTGGTCGCGGAAACGTGTCACCGCCGGTCGCGCGTCGCCACTGCAGTCGCCAAGTCGCGGGTTACGTGTCACCGGTCGCGCGTCGCCACTGCAACTGCAGTCGCCAATCGCCAGACTGCCAGAGGAGAGGAGGAGAAGCGGCGGGCGGGGCTGCGCTGGGGAAGAAGATGCGACGAGAGGAAGGCTCAAATTAGGTTATGCGTTTTTGGCCTTTGGCCTTTTTTTTTTTTAGTATAAAACCAAAGTGGCGACGTTTTCCCTAGTGTAAACCTACCGCCGGTCAGACCAAAGCCGGCCGGTTTTTCCTTTTGTATCGGTTAAGCCGGAAAAACCGGTCGGTCCGATATTCTGATACCAATCAGCATACCGTATCGCTATTGGTCGAATTCGCGGTTAAACCGGTTGAACCGGCCGGTACGATCCGGTTTCCTGGTCCATGCTTTTTGGGGGATATTTAGCTTCCATAATCTTTCCCAATTGACTGGAGAATAAAATTCCCCCCTCACTTCCTCATCTCGATCCATCCAGAGCTTATAAGCTGATTTAACTGAATATTCCCCTGTCTATTCTGCACACCATACCCTTTCATCCCTAGTCATCACCCTGGGGATAGGAATTTTGAGGATGCTGATTTGATCTTCCTGTAAAAAATGCTCTTGCAATAACTCCATGTTCGAGCAATGCTCCTCGTAGTTAATCAACTCAGCTACAGAAGTGGTTTCCCCAATTGGAAACACGGGGGTTTTAATTTTGAAGCCCTGAGCGTCTGGAACCCATTTGTCTTGCCAGATATCAATACTACTGCCATTTTCCAACTTCCATCTGTAACCTCTCGCAACCAGTTCCCTCGCAGAGAGTAACCCCCGCCAAATAAAACTCGGATTATATCCATAATATCTCTATTTGGGTGGTATTTAGCTTTCAGCACATTAGCAGCCAGGGAAATAGGTCTAGATATGAGTCTCCAGACTTGTTTGCCCAAAAGGGCCTTGTTGAAGCTTTGTAGGTCCCTGAAACCAATTCCTCCTATCTTTTCTGGTTTGCATAATTCTTCCCAACACAGCTAATGTGTTATGCCTTCTTCTTCTTGTTGTCCCCACCAAAAATTGGCTATGAGCCTTTGAATTTCATGTATAGTGCCTATTGGAATCTGAAACAGAGACATGGCATAAGTCATCTGAGCTTGTGCAACGGACTTTATCAAGATCTCCTCTCCTCCTATCGATAGCAGGCTGCTTTTCCAGTGCTTAACCTTTTGTCTCACTCTATCAACCAGATAACCAAAGACGACCTTCTTTTCACGACCCACTCTGGTGGGCAGCCCCAGGTATTTCTCATGGGATTCAACCACTTTCATCCCTAGTATAGTCGCCAATTGTACTCGAGTTTCCATCTTGATGTTGGGGCTGAATGACAATTCTGATTTCACTAGATTCACTTGTTGTCCTGACTCTTCCTCATAGAGTCTTAGGAGATTCTTTAATTTCTCACACTCTTGTCTTGTGGCTTTAGTGAAAAGGATGCTGTCATCAGCGAACAATAGATGTGAAATTATTGGTGCTTCTCTTCTAACCCTCAACCCACTAATCTGCTTCTCCCTCTCTGCCTTGGATATCAAGCTTGACAAACCTTCTGCAACAAGTAAGAATAGGTAGGGGGAGATGGGGTCTCCCTGCCTTATACCCCTAGAAGGGAAGAAAGTCTCTGTCGGATGACCATTCACTAGGATAGAAAAGGAGACCGTAGAGACACTGGTCATTATTAGATTTATCCATCTTCTCGTAAATCCCAGTTTAACCATGATAGCCTCAAGGAACTCTCACTCGACTCTGTCATAAGCTTTTGTGATATCTAGTTTAGCAGCCATAAAATCCGTTTTTCCTTGCCTTTTCTGAGACATGGTGTGGAAGCACTCAAAGGCGATGATGATATTATTTGTAATTAATCTCCCAGGAACGAATGCACTCTGGTTTTCTACTATGATATCTCCCAAAATCCTCTTAAGCCTGTTGGCTAGAACTTTTGATAGAATTTTGTATAGAACCTTGCACAAACTGATGGGTCTGAAGTCCACAGGGCTTTTGGGGATCTTCTTCTTAGGAATCAGAGTCAGCAGAGTATGGTTGAGAGCTTGAGGGAAAGCTCCTGCTTCTAAGAACCCTTGTAACTCCCTTGTAACATCATCACCAATAATGTCCCAATTTTTCTGAAAAAACATAGTTGGGAGACCATCTGCTCCTGGGGCCTTTAGAGGTCCCATATGTTTTAATGCTCCCCAGATCTCTTCTCTTGTGAAAGGCTTAAGTAATTCTTCATTCATAGCATCCGAAACCTTTCTTGGGACAGCCTCTAGGATAACACTACTTTGTACTCGTTCTCCCGCTTTAAAGAGGTTTTTGTAAAAGTTTACAAGACACTCAGTCACCTTTTCCTGCCTTTCAAAGCAGGCTCCCCTTTCATCTTTAAGATTCTTGATGGTGTTTCTTCTTCTTCTTCTTCTTTCTGATGCCCTTCTGTGGAAATACTTAGTGTTCTTATCTCCCTCCCTTAGCCAGTCAGACCTTGACCTTTGTTTCCACAGTAGATCTTCTTGTTCTAGTATTTTATTCAGCTCAGTTTCTAGAGCTTGGCGTTGACTAACTAAAGTAGTAGACATTTCCAGCTTTTCCAGCTTTGTCAGCGCCTTCTCAATCCTATGTTTCCTTGCTTTCATTGTCCCAAACA